GATTCCGTGTTGAGATGTAACGAGTACAGCTTTGAAATCCGTCAACGAGATATGAGCTGAAATGAGTGCTGAAGTGTCGAAATCTGAGATGCATCGTTGTCGGCGCATTATCGAGATCTAGAGGCAGTCGTCATGTAAGTTAGAGGCAATCCCGTTGCTATCAGTGCTGAAATTCGTATATGTATGAGCAACACCATTGAAATTGTGTTAAGCATTGCTGCAACTCCGTTTCAATCATAAGAAAGCATCAACCTTACCACACTTCTGACAGGCCATCGTTGGCAGTGATATCATTTCCCATCCAACCCACGGAATATCTTGATCTTACCGCAATTCCCCCCATAAAAAACTGTAGGGCTTCTGAGTCGATTGCTCGAAATGTGCACTATGGATTATCCACAGGACATGTTGATGGACTACAGATACCAGCATCCAAAACTGTTAAAACAAACAATAACAAATCATAATCAAAACGATATCACTACAAAACCACCACGGGGGCAGTGTTCTGCCACTTCACAAAGTGAGAACATCCGCGTAATTTGTTAGACCTTGCGGCCACGATCGGCACTAATCACGAAACTAGTGCCAAGAGCGATGAGAATAGAAAGCAGCTGCTGAGTGCAAGGCTTTAAGGAGCGTTTTTCAACGGATAGCCCCACGAGAAGAACTCACCGCGGAACTGCGTGCGCATGTCCGGAGCCCCTTACGCAGTTCGATTCCCACACGGTATGAACTGCGTGCGCAGTTTTTCGCCTTATTTTAAAGGATTCACGTGAAAACTATTCCCGCACTCAAAAAAGTTCGCAAATATTCGGCAAATATTGCCAAATATTCTCAAAATATTCTCAAATATTCGCAAAGTATTCGGATGCTTTTGAATATTCACAAAAAGAAGACGAAAAAGAAAAAGAACGCCGCAGCGCCTCCGACAAAAATCGCCGCAAGGTTTTCCCAGCTCTCCTCATCGGTTTCGCTTCCTCATATTCTTCCGAAAGGCTGGCCATAAACGGGAGGCCTCGCAGGTCTCCACGTGGCGGCGTTTCGATAAGACCTCGCGCCACGCCGCGACATTTTTCGTCGCAAATAAGA